AACTGTGAGATAACGGTCACTTTGGTAGTGTTAAGCTGTGAGAATAACGATCACTTTGGTAGTGTTAAGCTGTGAGAATAACGGTCACTTTGGTAGTGTTAAACTGCATGAATAACGGTCACTTTGGTGGCGTTAAACTGCATGAATAACGGTCACTTTGGTAGCGTTAAACTGTGAGAATAACGATCACTTTGGTAGTGTTAAGCTGTGAGAATAACGGTCACTTTGGTAATGTTTAACTGTGAGAATAACGGTCACTTTGGTAGCGTTAAACTGCATGAATAACGGTCACTTTGGTAGTGTTAAGCTGTGAGAATAACGATCACTTTGGTAGTGTTAAGCTGTGAGAATAACGGTCACTTTGGTAGTGTTAAGCTGTGAGAATAACGATCACTTTGGTAGTGTTAAGCTGTGAGAATAACGGTCACTTTGGTAGTGTTAAGCTGTGAGAATAACAGTCACTTTGGTAGTGTTAAGCTGTGAGAATAACGATCACTTTGGTAGTGTTAAGCTGTGAGAATAACGGTCACTTTGGTAGTGTTAAGCTGTGAGAATAACAGTCACTTTGGTAATTTTTAACTGTGAGAATAACGGTCACTTTGGTAGTGTTAAACTGTGTGAATAACAGTCACTTTGGTAGTATTAAACTGTGAGAATAATAGTCACTTTGGTAGTGTTAAACTGTGAGAATAACAGTCACTTTGGTAGTGTCAAACTGTGAGAATAACAGTTACTTTGGTAGTGTTAAACTGTGAGAATAACGGTCACTTTGATAGTGTTAAACTGTGTGAATAACGGTCACTTTGGTAATGTTTCCTTCTTATACCTCTTGAGACCGGAGTATCTTGTAGATAAAAATTCGGTTTCACACTAGAATTAATGGATGTGTTCTGTTCACTGCGGGGAATCGAGCCTCGGGTTTTAGCGTGTTAAGTCCGTAACTTACCATTGATCCACCGTTGGAGCTGAGTATTTGAAAACGTACTATTTATTACTTGTTCCGTGTATTATTACATGTTTTGATTTCTACATTCAAAAGTTAATATAATTGTTTCAATCTTAACAAAATACCGTTGGAAACATAAACATGATATTGACAAAGTTGAATTCATGCATACAAAATTCAGTTTGTTTCAGTAGCAAAGCTAGTATAAACTGATTAGATAATTAGGGCACAGCATATAAATTATGATAAGGAAAATATTAAAAATCCTACGTCAAAACTCCACTTTCGGAAAGTTAGATAATTTATACCGTGTCAGTCGTATATCATCAATTACTTGAACAATTCATACCGTGTAAGTCCTATATCATCAATTACTTGAACACTTCATACCGTGTAAGTCCTATATCATCAATTACTTGAACACTTCATACCGTGTAAGTCCTATATCATCAATTACTTGAACAATTTATACCGTGTAAGTCCTGTATCATCAATTACTTGAACAATTCATACCGTGTCAGTCGTATATCATCAATTACTTGAACAATTTATACCGTGTCAGTCGTATATCATCAATTACTTGAACACTTCATACCGTGTAAGTCGTATATCATCAATTACTTGGTTGTGTTCAAGTAATTGATGATATAGGACTGACACGGTATGAATTTTCATACCGTGTCAGTCCCATAACATTAGTTATTTTTATACATCTTTTACTTTAAAGTCATCGCACATCAGGGTTAAGTTTATGATTTTATTAACATCAAATTATTTATTATCATTATTTATTTATTTATCTATTTTACTTGACTTTACTCATTATTCATTATTTATTATCATTATTTATTTATTTATCTATTTTACTTGACTTTACTCATTATTCATTATTTATTATCATTATTTATTTATTTATCTATTTTACTTGACTTTACTCATTATTCAGAAGAACTGGCGAACCATGTCATCACCGGAAGAAATCTACACCAGTAACTGTAAGAACCTAGGAATGACGTCTACTCTTACCCACAATGACGTTGGAGAGATTTTCTCGCAGCTGATCAAAGGTACCGTATCGACTCTTAGTCTCGGGAATTTTATGTGAAGAAATCCATCCTCCGCATGCGTATTCGTAAAAGTCATCACATGGATGGACGTTAGTGTTCATTGCCCTCTCTAACTCCAAAGCTAGAAAATAAATACGAAGATATAACCACATCTTTCAATGGAAAATATGATTCTGATATTTTTGAAATAGTCGGAGAAAAGTATGGATTTTGTTCAATTAAGTTTTTTTTATTATAATAAAAATGATAGACCCATAAAAGTTCAGACTTTAAATAAAGTAGCTGATAGAGATAATACATTGTACTTTCCAGGATTAAGGAATTGCTGATAGAGATAATACATTGTACTTTCCAGGATTAAGGAATTGCTGATATAGATAATACATTGTACTTTCCAGGACTAAGGAATTGCTGATATAGATAATACATTGTACTTTCCAGGATTAAGGAATTGCTGATAGAGATAATACATTGTACTTTCCAAGATTAAGGAATTTCTGATATAGATAATGCATTGTACTTTCCAAGATTAAGGAATTGCTGATAGAGATAATACATTGTACTTTCCAAGATTAAGGAATTTCTGATATAGATAATGCATTGTACTTTCCAAGATTAAGGAATTGCTGATAGAGATAATACATTGTACTTTCCAAGATTAAGGAATTGCTGATAGAGATAATACATTGTACTTTCCAAGATTAAGGAATTGCTGATAGAGATAGTACATTGTACTTTCCAAGATTAAGATATATCTGTTATAGATAATGCACTTATCAATGGATACTTTCCTGTATAGTTAAAAACATGACTTTAATTCCTGTATGGTTCATAACATGGCTTTGAATCGATGCCTTCTCACGGCACCAAAGTGCGGATCGCGTTTTTGAAGCAACCGGCGCGAACTAAGAAAATCCAGAATCACAGTCCTACTTGCTAACAACTAGACAATGGCTGGTTCAACAAGCAGTGATGTTGTAAGTTTGTTACATAGTGTTTCTTTAGTCCCCCAATGGGACAGCGGTGAGTGGACACAGCAGATAGGCAAATGTGGCTATCTACTAAAAACAAACAACAGCTTGAAATAAAGAAATACGTTACTCAACACGTGAAAAGTTTAATTTGCCTCATGCTTAATTAAAAAAAGTTTTTAAATATTTAATATATTTTTACATATACGTACCAGTGTTTTTACAGCCTGTTGTATTACATATAACGGCTGAAGGCTTAGGTGGTATCTCAGTTGGTTGTGAAGCAGATATGCCTAAGATATTAATGAGGAAAAAGAAACACAAAATGTTTTTAGAGTAATGAAATAATGCAACAAAATACAGCGTACAAAATAAAAACAGTGTTAAAAGAGTAGTAACATATTGGAACTTAACATAGCGTTCAAAATAATGCAATTAGCTCGGTCCCTTAACTATTCTGCATATAATCAAATGTATTTAAAAACAGATATCCCTGGATTGTTTTTTTTTCAAAATAAAATAATAGTCAGTACACTTGGTTATTACAGATACTTTGAATACTACATTAGGAATCTATACACCATATTATTAGAGATGTTAAGCATTACATCAGGTGTCAATACATCAGATCCTTATAGAGGAGTTAATCAACTCCTCTATCAGTAGCAGGTGTATTGATCACTCATGTAATGGACCTCTATCAGTAGCAGGTGTATTGATCACTCGTGTAATGAGTTGATCATCACATGAACGATCAATACACCTACTTCTGATAGAGGAGTTGACCATTAAATGAGTGATCAAAACACCTACTTCTGATAGAGGCGTTGACCATTACATGAGAGATCAATACACCTACTTCTGATAGAGGAGTTGACCATTACATGAGAGATCAATACATCTGCTTCCGATAGAGGAGTTGACCATTACCCTAGAAGTCAATACACCTACTTCTGATGCAGGTCTTGACCATTACATCAGGGGTCAATACATCTGATTTAGATAAAGATTTTGAGCAAGGCAGGAGACATTAAACCTAATTTTAATACATGTGTTGAGTACTACAGTAATATCAAATACTCTGTATTAATTATGTTACACCACATGCAAGTAAGCTGTTTTGTATATGACATACGAAAATAAGGTAATCTGTATTTATCTTATAATGCATAATTTAAAGAGTAAAATGCTTTAAAGTTTGATTGAAGTAAAACATTTGACTTACTCCTGTATTTGACGGCTACAGCCGAGACCGCTATAACCAGAGATATTGTGACGACAAGAAAAATTCCGAGGAGAATTGTAAGTTTTTGCTCAAGACCAGTTTTTCTTTTCCAACATCCCTCTCTAAATTAAAAGTAAAAATTTTCATTTTATGACAATCGAAAATCTTTGTACACATACACACAAATGTCTAGAGCTTTTTTGAAAAAAAACCGAAAAAAGCAATTTACAATCTATAATGCTAAATTTAATTATACGTTTAAATACTTTATACACTTCAAGAACAAATTACATGCCCAAATTAACACCTTTTATATTTTGGTAGCATTCTTCATTAGAAGTACTCTAAAAACCAGCAATTTTTTTGTTATACTCTGTAGCCCAGGGTCTTCCTTGTGTCAGTATAACTGTCCCTGAGACCTTGAATTCAAAGTGACGTGAAGCGGATAAACACTTGGCTATCATCTGCATTCACCGAAGGGAATCGAACCCCGGATTCTAGAATTGTAAATCCGTAAACTTACCGCTGACTCACTAGAGGGGGAAAGACGTAAGGAGATGGACAGTAACTTAGTTAAATTTGAAAATAGTTCTGTTGTGTGGAGAAACATTATACGAGAGCATCATGCAGCAATAATCTAGTGCTTATGTTTTGCGTAAAGTAGCGTATACTCTAGTCTTTCTGTAAAGTTACTTGAATTAACAGGATTAATTAGGATATTTAATATTCATATTTCTATTAATTTTAGTTTACTTATTTTCTATTGTCATATTTTTATTAAACAGATTTTTTTCGCCTTGTTAGCTTAATATGTGAAATTGGGAATAACCTGAATCCCCCAAAATGGCTAAACGTCGTGAGATACTATTGGATTTACGACCGAAAACGTCGTTAACAGCGAGAGTACCTAACAAATGAACCAATGCATTTTAATGCTTATAAGTAAGAACGTAATGAAATATCTAATTAGTTATACAGGTTGTCGGGGTAATTTTTAGTTTTTATTTAAGTAGGTAGAATGTTTTGATGGTAAAATACTATTAATTTAATTAAATCTTACTTATCCTTTTAACTAAGAGGTGAGTTTAGTGAGGATTTTACTGTTAATTATTAGACAAAGGTATTTGTCCAAGGGAAGCCAAGTTGTAGGTAGAATGAATTTGTTATCAGAAGAAGAAATGCACCTAGCGTTCGCCCACCAATCAGTAACATAAGACAATCAGTAGGTGAAAAACATCTTCTATGGTTACCCTACCTGAAAGCCAAGTTAATAAAGTGCCAGATGAACAGGCTCACCTAGGTAAGTAAAACCATTCTTGGTAAGCAAAAGCACGCAAGATCAACAGAAAAATCCAAAAATTCAAGGACTTTCTTTCATCAGGGTTAAGTCCATTCAGTTAGCTACTACCCAAAAAGATTTACCCAGGAGAACCCCATTGGTTAATAAAGAAATCATTGAAAGAAGAGACTCACTTAGAGGAAACCAACTAGTTGGTAAAGAAAATATACCACTGTAAGAAGAGACTCACTTAGGGGAACCCAACTGGTTGGTAAAGTAATTATACCACTGTAAGAAGAGACTCACTTAGAGGAAACCAACTGGTTGGCAAAGAAAATATACCACTGTAAGAAGAGACTCACTTAGGGGAACCCAACTGGTTGGTAAAGTAAATATACCACTGTAAGAAGAGACTCACTTAGGGGAACCCAACTGTTTGGTTAATAAAGAAATCATTGAAAGAAGAGACTCACTCAGAGGAACCCAACTGGTTGGTAAAGTAAAGAAATCTCTGGAAGAAAAGACTCACTTAGGAGAACCCAACTGGTTGGTAAAGTATATGGAAGTAAGGCCGTAAATTAAATAAACTTAACATGGAATATTGACAGTGTAAGTAAGACTGTGAAGTAAATAAATTTAACATGGAATATTGACAGTGTAAGTAAAACCGTGAAGTAAATAAATTTAACATGGAATATTGACAGTGTAAGTAAGACCGTGAAGTAAATAAATTTAACATGGAATATCGACAGTGTAAGTAAGACCGTGAAGTAAATAAACTTAACATGGAATATTGATTCTTGTGAAGTAAATAAACTTAATATGGAACATTGACTATGTAAGTAAGATCAAGAAGAAAATAAAACCATATCTGGAATGCTGGTCGTGTAAGTGGAACCGAATGGTAAATAAACTTAATTTATGGAACTATTACAACGTAAGTAGGACCAGACTGAAGGGGTGAATAAACTTAACATGGAACACTGACAAGACCGGAAGCCAGGTATTCTACTTACTAGACATGGTATTAAAAGCAAGTAATTTCAGTAGTCCTAAATCCTACAATTTATAACTTAAATATTAAATCTGAAAAACAGATTCAAAAGATATAATCGTGGTAATGTTGTAGTATTTTGACATTAGGTCGAAGAAGACTTGTCAATAGCTTCTCGTGTGATTTTACAGACTGGGTATGTTAATATTTTACACTGAATCCACGTTTAGGCTGCTAGGTACTTCGAAAGAGAAAATAAATTAATATTAGGCTGTTATATGCCAGGGCATATGTACTTTGTTCTACATGCAATTATGTATCCTTAACTTTCCATTGAATGGGGGATTGTCCCCCCTTACAATTCAAAAATAATAGCATTGAGTCATAAATGGATTCTAGCAGGTTATATAGCAACCATCCTCCTTCCACACACCCTTGGTTTTAAACTAAAATAGATCATATATATTAGTGTACGTTAAACAAGGAACTTTACAGCTCTAATGAACATGATCCTCACTGAGTCTACTTGTAAATAGGTCATAACTCATGTTGCTGCTATTTGAAATGAATTGTAGTAGTGTTATATACTAAAGCAATAAATCAATATACAGTAAAATTAGTAATAACTTCATAGACGTACATAGTTAATACAACTGATCATTACTAAATACAAATATTTATTTCCAAATGAAGAGGGTTGAGTACCGTATTTTAAAACGAGTTTGAATATACAAGTCAGCAACTCGCAACTGATATAAACTCGCGGTGGAACGAAATGTATCGGAACTACATCTTGAAATTGATTGAAGTTTCTTACTTTTTTCTCCATCTATTGAGAGATAACTGAACTTCCAAGT